AAGAGTACATCTCATCCATCTTAGAGTTGTGAACTCTGCAGTGATCAGGGGATTCAACTAGTGTCCTATGGGAACTCAAGGCCAAAGTCTCTGGAAACTCAGTCTGAATTTTTTTTTTTTCCTCTCAAGTGCCAACATGAAATGACTGATAAGGAAACCACAAAGACAAAATCACACACACTATACCAGAACTGTAAATATGAGAGAGAGAGAGAGAGAGAGAGAGAGAGAGAGAGAGAGAGAGAGAAATATCACAGCCCTGCAAATTCCAGCGACTCAAAGCCAGACTCAGCAAATTATCGAAGTGTTGAGCAACTCAGTGAGACCCTGTCTCTAAATAAAATACAAAATAGGGCTGGGGATATGTCTCAGTGGTTGAATGTCCCTGGGTTCAATCCTCAGTATCCCCCTTTCCCCTCCAAAAAGGGCTGGGGATGTAACTCAATGGTATAGCATCCTTGTTTTTCAATCCCAGGACCAAAAAAAAAAAAAAACAACCAAAAAAACACCCCCCACCCCCCCCCCCAAAAAAAAACCTATTAAGTTAATTTGCTCATGGAAGAAATGCCTGTCTGTTCGGAAATTTCTACTTGACTCAGACAAGCTTTCATTTGAGGCTTGTAATAGATGAGCCATTCTCTAAATCTTCATCTATTTTTTATACGGTGGGGTGACAGTCATCATCTGAAGTCACTTTTAGGTTTCCCAGAAGTATGGAAAAATGAACCTAATCTTACTTTCATAACCTTCTTAAAGGGCAAAATTTCACTTTTAGTTTTAAAATAGTTTTTAAAAGGAGCCACCACTATCAACAAACCCAACAATTTAAGTTCCATGAGGACATAAAAGACTACCCATGGGTGAGTGAAAATGTGCTCTATTTCTGCCCTTGATTATGGTAACATCTCATGAGTTTTTTTTCAAGATTATTATTTTTCTGAAACTTAAATTTGAAAAAAAAAACTGAACATGTCAAATCAAGCCTGATTTTCCAGTATTTTTGAGGCTTAAAACTCAAAGGTGAAACACTGAGGATCAGGAGACAACAGACATCAGGCAACCAATTCTCCGTGGTTATGGGTGACATTTATTCCGAAGCCCGCTCTTCTTCCTCATCAGTGCCTTTCAAACTGAGCAGCCAAAGCAGGCCAGACAGCAGAGGAGGGTGGATTCTACCCAAAGGAAGAAGACCGAGTTCATTGCTGCAAGTCTTCATCCAAATTTCACATTATGCTCCATACCATTCTTTTTTGGAGGGGGTAGGTTATTGGGGATTGACCTCAGGGGCACTCAACCACTGAGCCATATCCCCAGCCCTATTTTGTATTTTATTTAGAGACAGGGTCTCACTGAATTGCTTAGTGCCTCATTTTTGGTGAGGCTAGCTTTGAACTCATGATCCTCCTGCCTCAGCCCCCTGGGCTGCTGCGATTACAGGTGTACACCATCACGCCCACCTCCATTCCATTCTTATGCTTGTTTTGGTATAAGAAAACAAGCTCCTTCTACTTCCCCACTTCTGCTCTATTTTTTTCTCCAAAGCTTATTACACCTATGAAATTATATGTTCATTTATGTCTTTGATTGATTGTTTCCCCCTGCTGTCCCCATGAGGGCTATCTTGCTCACTGCTGTGCACCAAGAGGAAGATCTGGCATGTACTCAATGAATATATGTGGAATGAAAGACGGACTGTTTTAGATGATGATGTGTTAAACTGACTTTCCTGGAAGGTGCATCTTCTTTGCCCCATGGTGCAGAGGCACACCTGCTCATCCTTGGTGGCAGGTGCTCCTTGTTTGGGAAGATAGACTGGGCTACAGTTTAGGGAATGTGGGGGAAAGAAGTGACAATGACTCCTCTCAGTTTTTTGACATCATATTCTTGACTTCTGAGTCCATATCATGAGTGTGGTGTGTCATAGACTGAGATATTTTTTTCTTGATTCCTGATGAATTGGTCATTGAATTTTTATTTCCCACTTAATGTCCTCGGATTTCTTTATGGTAGGATTCAGTGGCCTGCACTTGCCTAGATAATGCTGTTCTCTCTGCCCATCTAAATCCTGTGTCCCTCAAAGCTCAGCTTGGGCCCCATCTCTTTTGTGACATTAGCCTTCATTTAATGGTCTGACTCCCAAGGTCAATTCTTTTTTCTCACTCAGGGGGCAGCCTCTGTGTCTCTGTAGAGTCGGGGAAGGATGTGTAGGGGCTCTGGTGAAGAGGCCTGAGAGAAAGAACAAGCTGATTTCAAAGCATAGATGGCAATTTTGAAAGAGAGCACAACAGTAGACCATCTCCCACTAAACCACAAATACCAATCACTGACACTTAACTCTGCCTTTTCTTTTAGTTCTCAGGAAAACATTTGCTTTCTATCATCTATAGCACTTTCAGACACAAAAATCATTATCCTTGACCTGACCAGGGCCTCTTGACAAGATATAGCTGGGCTCGAAAACACGTTTTGGTAGTTCTTGACATTTCCAAGCTTATTTAAAAGAGAGTTCCCTGCTATTTTCCAAGAGTATCTGGTACTACCTTATTTACACATATTGTCAATATACTTAGTGTAAGTCCTTACTTCCACTTGTGCCCAGTGCTTTTCTAAACTTCATGTATTAATTCATTATCTTCCAAAACAACTTTACTATTATACAGATTCTGTTCATATCCCCATTTCACAGATAAGGAAACTGAGGCATAGAAAGAGGGTGACTAAGGGCTGACACCATGAGCCTAACTACCCAGCCTATCTGCCTCACACCTTTGTTCTCTCCCGCCACCTCCCTGTGCCTATCTGCTTCCCATGCCCGCCTGACCTTTACTCTTTGTGTTCACAGTAGATCCAGATGCCTCTCTTCAATGAGATCTACTGTCTCCCAAATCAACTAAGCTAAGTTTCTTCCAATTAGGATAAGATCACTTTATTTCGAATTCCTTGCAAACACTTAGGGATATTGATTTATTCACTTCTTTGCTGGCCTCTGCTATTCCATGCTTTGATCAGAGGCACACACATTTCTTAAAATGCTCCAACCCTTTTCACTCTCTAAACTCCTGAATGGAATATTTACAAATGGAAAGTTCAACCAGAAAACGCCATGATCCGTGTGCGGTTTGGAGAATATGAATCCCATGGTGGTATGTGAAGTGGGGCAAGGGAGGGTACGTGGATGAGAAACAGGATTTTTGTAACTTAGAAACTTTCACTTTTGGTGTCATGAAATGCTGTAAGAGCTTTTGGGTATGGAAAAGAAGGGGTGGATTCAAAAGGCATTTCAGAAAGAACAATAGATTGGACTTGTGGGCAATTGCTTCTAGGGATCAGGGAGAGAAGGGAGTTAAAATGATATCGCTATTTTGGGCCTGAATGATTATAATGAGTGTCATTACCTGAAATAGGTGTATCAGGAAGCTACTCTGATTCATGGAGAACAAAAAGTTCATTTTAGAATTTTGTCATCAATCCTCTTCAACAGTTGGAAGACACCATAAGACAGCATGTAATGAGTCCCCTTTAAGGGTCTATCAGGGCACCTGATGTTAATGTTAAATCTCTAACAATAATTAGCATAGCCGTGAGGACGTCTTTTACTCTAGACTCACAGAAGTGCCTGCCGATGTATTTGTTGAATTAGATCATCCCTAGGCTTCTTCAACTGGGGTGATTTGGGGGGTATGATTTGAATGTCAAGAGTAGGTTTACTATATGGCCTAACTCCAAACAATAGTAGAGAGTAAAACTCTTCATGGTCACACCTAAAAATCCTCAGAAAGTGGCCAAGTTGTTCATGGCAAACTGATTATGTGCTTGATTTCTAGGCTTGGGTTTACTTCATGTTAAATCTTTTGAAATAACAAACTCAAACATCTTGAACTCTCCCCTTCCAACTCGGCTGTGGCTCTCAACACTCCCCAGAGTGTTTTTTCAAAGGCCTGGACGGTGCCAGCAGAGCCTACAGATTGAATGGTGAGAGCAAGTTTTCTGGGAATTAGTTGAAATGTAAAAAATCAAAGCTGAATGGCTTAGATTTAGCAGGTCCACAAGTGCTCAAAGGCAAGGCCTAGAATGGTGTGCTCACCATTGAGAGATAGGTAGACATTGTCAATAGAGTGTTTCAAAAGTTCAAAATGACTGAAGATTCATGCTGGCAATTGACCCCAAACCTCAGATTGGCACACTTTCCCTCAACTTTATGTAAGCTCAGTGTAGTTGCCAATGCACATTAGTGACCATTAAAACGACTTTCAGCAAATCTCTACATTCAAAGTCTAACTTGACCGACCACCTTACTTCCAACAAGTCTATCCTCTTTCGGCACAGTAAGGGGTTAAGGGTTAGCCCGGGCATACGTGCAAGCTACTTCGAAGGGCCAGATTTTTGGAAACCGTGGGTAGGAAAACTAAATCCAGTCCGGGTTTTGTCTGAACGGGGGGACCGGAGGGTTGCGAGGAATGGCTCGAGAAGAGGGGGGCGGTGGTGGAAAACACACCACACAAAC